TTTTTGTTTGTTTCTTTTTACTTTTGTTTGGTTTTATAATGCTATTTTTAATCCGGRATGTAGGTATAACAAAAAGCCAAGCAGTCTCTGTAGAGCAGCTGATGGAAACAAATACAATGACCTTTGATAGCCAGCATTTTAAATGTGCTAAGACTCTCTAGAATGAGGGCATGCATCTCATAAATAGGACTCCGTAAATTAAGACAAAAATAGGCCAGCCTGGGCAATTTGGCCATGGGAGATAATCTATTTTAACCAGAAATAGGGTTTGCTTCTCTCTGCTGACTTCTTATTCTTTCTTTTGTACTTCCTGTTTTCTTTTAATATAAGGCTTCATGATAACCTGTAACACTCATCAAGATGCAACTTCCCTCAGCATTCCACAAGCAGTGGAGAATCCACCTGTTCACCTTTTGGAGCAGTTCTCACTTTGCAAGGAAGTCCTGGAACCCTGTTGCTATAATAACACTGGGATCTCGTAGTTCCTTCAAACTGAATATCCATTTCTCTTCTTTGATTCCAGCTGGGGCCAATATTTTGCACAGCTTTACTCACTACAGGCTCCAGAGCTTGACCACTCTTGCTATAGTGAGATGCAGATTCCTCGTAAACAGAGGAAATAAAAACCAACCTCCAATATATTATATATTGCCTGTAATAGTAGTAAGTTTTACAACAGGCATATACAATGCAAAAGCTGGGTTGCTACCGAAYAGCAAATCTGATGGGTCTAAGAGGATGTTTGTTAAATGCTGCAGGCTTCTACAACTTCAAAAGATAAAGGTTTTCAGTCTAAATGCTAACTAAAAGTCGAAATTTTTGAGAAAAGGCTTCCTTCCTTCCTTCTCATGAGGACAGAAAGACTGAAAATTTACTTTTACTTCTCAAAGAAAACACAGGCCCAATACCTCTACTAAAAAGCCCGCTCTTCAAATTTCATGACACCTTGTCACTCTCAAGTGACAATCCTCATTACCAGTCCTGAAGAAAAAATGACAAGTCCATTCTAGGCAATTCAAAATGATAAACSTGTATTTCAGATTTGACAATTTCACGTTTCATGCAACACTGCCCGATTTACCCAAAGAGAGAATGTAACATTTGTGCCTGGCACGGAGTCTCAGTGGGACACCTTTGAGTGCCTTCACACTGCGCTATCTGCGCTCCCACACATCCCACCGCTGGAGATGGAAAGCTGCTTTAACAAAAAGTGATGGGCAAAACTGTTCCAGAAGTGCTACTGACACTTTTAAAAGTTCAGCCAGTACAAAACCAGAAATAGCAGGAAAAAAGATGTTTGCCTTCACAGAATACACTGTGTCCCTCACATACACTTTTCTTCTGGTAATCCTTAGGAATACACTGGGAAAGAAAAAGAACAAGTATACAAAGCAGTCCCTCAGCAAGAAAATAGGCCATACATACACATTTTAACATACACATTGATGAAACAGAAGAAGATATAAGAGAGAAAAGTCATATAGCCAGAAACATTATTTTAGATACAAAATTCTAGAAAAACTGAGCATGAATYTAGCTATGTAGAATTTTTCAGTTAGGTTCAATTTCTTGCATTTCAAAATTATAGACCAAATTTACTGTAGAGGAGTATCCTGTRAATTAATGTCTCATAAAATACAGTCTTTTCTATAAAGTATTTTTTACTTTCTTCCCTTTTTAAATAACAAAATCAGAAGTCAAAAGAAAAATGCACACGCACTTAAAAAAATTAAAAAATCAGTCCTTCAGAATAATATGATTCTGTGTTTCTCCCCTTGGGCTTTTCTCATTTTAGAAAGGCAACATTTATTTTCATAAACATTTAACAGGCCAAATATTTCACTGAAACTGTACGGTAGTAGGAAAAGCTGCATCCACTATTCCCTGGTGAAAGTAAATCAAATACCTGCAAAGCACCACACGGTAGAGGCAGTGACTGATTGCTGACAGTCTTGTGACCAACTGCACCAGGCAGAGTGTGGGTGGATGTGCACAGTGGTGTCTGGTCAGCCCCTTGGAAAAAAAACTTCTTGTAAGAAGTTTGGTGGGATTCCTAACGAGCCACTGCAGTTCCAACCGAGCAGTAAAACCACACTCAAAAGAACAAAACTGCCTTCTCATTATAGAAAACTAATGAGAACATGYTAATTGAGTAAATTAATGAATGAAGAAGCAAGACAGTTTCCAGTGTTCCATTTTCAATTCCTTTTATAATGGATATAATGCTACGAAACATAATTTGAGCTGAAAATGTACATGGATTGCTTCAGACCTTTGCCAGATCTCTCTGTACAAATGCCTGAGCTCACAAAGATGCTCATTTTAGAATGTTCATCTTCTCTTTGCACAATCAACAACCACTTTTTCCCCTCAAAACCCTGATCCAGCTTTCATGACAGTTAACTGTACAAGCAACATTAAAAAAAAAAAAAAGCCACAGAACTATGCTTTTGGTGCTTTGGGGTTTTAAAACAGGAGCACAATATTTGCCTTTTTCTGCTCCTAGCTCCCTGAAAAATGGTGTTTTACCAGAAGAAAAGGTGGAATAACTGGAGGTACAGCAGCAAAAATCACAGCCTCAGCACTGCCTTGTGTCAGTGACCACATACAGCTCCCAGTGCCTTCAGCAGCCTGTGCTGGAGGGGAGACTCAAGTGAAATAATTTTCATCTTAAATAAACACCAAGATGGAGAACCTCAAGCACTACATTAAATGTTAATAATAGGTTTGAGAATGGAGCTTTTMTTCTTAAAAATATTCACCAACTAGCATCCCTCTCCTGAGAAAATAAGAARTGTCCACAACTTCCAAAAGAATAAGTGGAAACTGGAGGTACTTCACAGCAATTATCACAAAGGACTGAAAATCCTGGATTATACCAGTGGAATTTAACTTACCTTAACTGTGTCAATAAAAGTTATGCAAATTAAAAGGTTTTTTTAATACTTGAAAGAGCTGACCAAAAACTATAAATCTTGAAAGAGTTGATCAAAAAACTTAAATCAAAGATACACAGGCATGCTTATCAGACTATGTCCTTACACCTGTTGTTAAAAAATGTGCAATTTCATCATTCAGAATGACGAAACCGTAAGTCTTAAAGGAGAGACTCTGCTCAGATCTATTTTAAATCAGTAACAAAACTCACACCACCATTCATGGATTTCAAGCGGCAATGGAGGCAAAAGCTTCTGGACCTTCCACCATTTAACACAAAGTATTCACAGACTGGTATTACATGGCAACATAATTGGGGGRTTTAGGCCCAAGAAAGCATAAATTTGGCTGTTCCTTATAAGCTTCTTATCCTGTGGTAACTTAATATTGTTTTGTATTTTGGGGACTCAATAGACTGAATGTATAAATATTTTTAATCATGAAAGTATGATAAAAATCACTTTCAGCCTACAGCAAGAACCAATGAGAATTTTACAGAGTTGCTGCATTTCAGCTTATTGAGTATCAGCCCTGGAGTGCTGTGAACCATAAAAAAACAACAGGAAAGGGTGTAAAATCTGTATGTAGATGAAGCTCTCGAAGTATTCAAATTAGAATGTTTAGRCTCATTTAGCAGGCTGTGCATTTTACAGCACACATCACACTTCAGCTGCTAATGCTGTTGGGAAGATCCATTTCTTTTTACTATGGAGACACTTCATTTAGGTGGCTTAAACATTATGTGCATACCCACAGTCTGCTCCAGGAGAGACTCCAGCTTATGCAGCAGCTCCAATACAGGTATGCACTGTATATATTATAGGCAGGTATGCACTGGGAGAGCACAAGTAATGTCTACTTTGTTAGAACAAAATATCTGAAGGAATAAAGAGATAATTAGAAACAGCATCTATCCAAAATGTAACTAAGTGATACAGAGCTAGAACATCTTGGGGAAAGGTRGTGCAGCAAATATCTCTCAAAAATCGTACTGAGGTCAATTTATTGCACTACACTTTGCCCCAGCACAAAATTCCAGTGGTCAGAACTGTCTCCAWCAGTTTCTGCTACATCTGCTTCTGGCAGCTTGAACTGACCCCTTTCTCTACCTGAGTAATTAGGTTCAGAGAAGCAGTGCAATTTTGAAACAAATCAACCCATCAGTCCCACATACTGAGGACTGAATTCAGGAATAATTTTAGTGCACATGAAGTGGTTACTTGAGAAGGTAACTAAACACCACATGCTTCACCAGGTACCCAGGTGCTGGTTATGCTCCGTTCCTAGCGGGGACATAAAGACCAAACCACACATGCATCAGGGATGTTTGCATCCTTGATTAAACACAACACAGAGGAAAATCACAACCCAGAGAGGTTACTGATGCTTTCAGCATCAACTGATTTGACCCACTGATCCATCCCTTTTAACTCACATTGTTTGCTAATGCACACACAGCCCACAGGCTTTTGCATGCCAGCCTAGAGCTCTTTCCAGCTCCATCCTATGAAATAGCCTGAACAGCAAAAAAAAAACCGCACACAGAAGGATCTCTTGACAGGGTTTCCTTTTACCAGAATTCCTCTTCATCAGAAAATTTTCAGTTCTTCAGAATTGATACTATTTCAGTTCTATAAAATCATAGACTTATACAAATGATAGTATAGTTTTTCAAATGATAGGTTACTTGTCCAAGACAACATACAAGCATTGGACTGTAAGCACATTAAGGTACCAATTCACATGATGAATATGGTACTTCAAATTTTCCAGTCTGTAAGCCAACCAGCACCAAAGGTGAAAACAGGTAACTGTATGCATATYTATTGTTTAAGAATAATGCACTTCATCTTCTAGCAGGTCACTGTGGAGCCAGACCTACATAAAATCATGTTTTCACATAATTCACCGCATGGAGAAAAGGGAAGAGGAATCCAAGGCAACTCTTTGCAGTCTTACCTGAGCTTTATCTGTAGATTAATCCTGTAATATCAGAAAAGAAAATAGGAAATGGCAAAATAGCAAGAAACACACAGAAATACAAGAAGACAATTCTGACTTACCTATGTGATAAAGTCCTATCCAGTCAGTTGGGTCTACTTCTTCCTTAATATCCCAGAAAATGATGAGGTTCTGAGAYTGTCCCAGGGTATATTCGTACATGCTGGCTGTCAAACTAGACCTGCTATCCGAGGTCACTAAATCAGTGTCACTGTTGGCACGCTGCAAGTTCATGTTCTCAGCCATGGTGCCCTGAGAGGCCAAGCTCTGCAGGTTCTCAGGGCTCAGGGTGTAGCGGAGCTGGGGGTTGCGACGGCGCACGAAGAGCAGGTGTTCTCGGGCTGAACTGGCCATCTCTTCTCCACTTCTGGCAATTCACGTAAAAAAGTTGTTGTTCAGAGACCTACCACCAAGAAGGAGAAAAGAAAGTTTAAAGTGAGACACAAAGTGACTCAGTCAGTTATTAAGTGAAGAAGTATTAGTGCAAAAATGTTCCCACAGAAGCCTAAAAAGGGCTGAGTACAATCTCTTTCTTCAYTGCTTTACCACTGCAAAGAACTTAGTGTCTGTACATTAAAGAAAAAGCATGACTCACAACAAAATTCAGAGTTAGCCATACTCCACAAAATAAATTTATAAGCCAGAAAACAGCAAAAAGCCAGTTGTCCAAGACAATCTACGAAGCAAGAACAGCCACAGTAACAAAGCTAATTTAAGTTTGGCTTTAAGAGCAAAGACATATTTAACTCATCTTCCACCATCAAAATCACAGCAGTACATATATATGGTAGTAAAACAATACTGTCTATGCACTGTTTGATCAGTCTAAGTGTTGAAGGTAATAGTAAGGTGGGACATATTTTAGTAGAAATATGGTATCTCAGATTTATATTACTATATATAAAATCAGCTTGTAAGGATTTTATCATATAAGGTACAAAGCATAGTTTCTGAGATCCTCTAGACCATACAAAAACATGTCAAACCATTGACTGAGGTACTTCAGACTAAATATATAATCAGTTCATTTGTGCAGTCAAATTTTGTTGTCCTTTTCCATCCATCAGAAAACAGAGGCCTTACAAATTCAACAGTTTTCCACCAGCCCTGATCAGACACTTCCCTAAAGTGTTTTCCCTGAAAGGGTCATGCAAATATCATCATGCCATACATTCACAAGGAGAACTTGCACTTCATTATCCACAGATTCTAGAAATACTGTCATTTGAAAATAAGCCCTCACATTACTACAATTTGAGATAAATCCTGACTCATCTTCATCTTCAATTTTCTTTCAATAATATTTCAGTGTATGAACTCTTCAACTGAACCAAAAATTTTTCTGCTATTTTTCAGCTTTTCTTAAATGGCAGATGTTTTGAAATACTAAGAACTAACAAAGGGGGGAAATAAAGTTCAACTCATCCAGCTATGTGCAATTCATCACACGTGATTCAGCATCAAATAATGYAGAAAAGGAAGGAGACAAAAATTCAATTCAATAATTCTACACATACAGACGTAACACGGAGATAACCATGTTTACTTCACAAAGTACATGACACAGTCTTTCCTGACATGTATTTTGGCTGCATACATGTTATTTCTGGTGCTGGCAGCAGGGTTCACTGACTCCGCTCTGCCATATTCCCACACAGTCTGCCTCTGATATCAGGGTCAGTGACAAAAAGGAAACTCTGGTAAAAAGGACCTTTTTAAATGAGAGTCAGAGAAGTTAGTATCTTGTTTCTCCGTGCAAAGTTTTATTCACTAAATCTGAAAATCCCGGAGTGCTTTCAGACCAGGAAGGTTAATAAGAAATAGCCACCACCTTTCCCACAGGCCAGTGAAACACACAGGCACCAGCCCTGTGCTATGAGTAACAACACACATCACATTTCAATGTTAAATGTCACAGTGACAGAGCTGCACCCTGCAGTCAAGAGGTCCCAATTCATTCCTGAGCCTGCCCACCACAGCAAGCAGCTCATGCACCTGCCTGGGAACCACGGCCCTCTGCACCAGGAGGCAATATTAATTAACAGACTGACAGACAGCTATTAAGTTTATTTTCTTCTGTCCCATACCCACCAGATCTATGTATTTTTGAACTACCGTATGCAGTGTTTTTATGGCAGTAAAACTGCTGCAAAGTAAGTGTCATGCAGGCAGACTACAGGTTAAAGACAAAATTTAAATTGAAGGAAATTCCTTCATTCCTTCTGCTGCAGAGCCTTACACTGTACCCGGGGCAGCACTGGCATTTGTTGGAACATATTGAAAATTTATATGCGGCAGATGGACAAACTCATCCATGGTTAAGGACACATGAGAATTAACTTGCACTAGCCAGGACTATGCCACAGTTTGAGAGATGAAAATAGCCCGAGAAAAACATTAAATCCTTTGCAACAATCCATTTTCTTCAGYCCTAATGGCTATCACTCTGGTGAATCACATTAGTTTCTGGAAAGGAAAGTAAACCACAAATCTAAATGCTGGGTAACTTGTTTGATCCTACCCATAATTCCAAGTGTAATCCAAACAAATCACATAAAGCAAGCTAAATCAATTTGCAGCCAATGAGTTAAACTCATATGTAAACGAACTCCTATAATGGGAAAAAAAACTCCAAAAATTCAGGACTCGTAAGCTTTTAGAGCATATTCTAAATTCATTAAAAGAGGCTGTAAAGGGGCCCTYGTGTCAGATAGTATTCTGCTAGGAACTATCTCACAGTGAGATTAGTTAAGGATATTTCTAAAGAGAGAAATAAAACACTCATATGGTAAATGGGGAAAAGACGGTTGCCTTTAGACCCAAACCATAAGACGCCATAAAGGGGAAAAAAGAGCCACTACTTCAATTATTTGCAACTCAAAAAGAAATGAGAACCCCAGACAGTGCCTTCCTGCCYACAAAAGAAATTAGTTCATTGGGTTAACAATTCCTGATGTCTGTCACTAATAAAACAACTAACAGAACACTAACACATACATCCTACCACAGACTGAAAATAAGAATTAAMCTCCTACCTTCAGTTCCTGCCAAGCACCATTGAAACAGCATTTGCATCCAGACTATGCAGTAAAGACAATGCCAGGATTAGCTGAGTGCACTTGCCCTGCCATGAAGGTTCAACTCATCAGGATCAACACCATCAGAGCAGTGATATCACTGAGTATCACAACAAGCTGGTCAGATATATTATTTCATGAAGGCAAACTGAAATGTTCAAACTGAATTAAAAGCATAGGGAAAATATAGGCATTAAGGATATCAACAGATACTAACTTTAGCAAACTATTTCTGTTGGAAAGTGAAACCTGTACCAAAGCTGCTTATGCATATCACAGCATTTTCYTCAGTACTTGACAAGAAGCTTAGAGAGAAATAGAACTGATTTCCTCTTAATCTCTAAGTGGCCCAAGTTCAGGATTATTTCTATCTAAATATACTCCCCAATTACTAAACACAGAGGGACTAGACTGGGAAATAGCTCCACTTAATAATACACAAAATACAGACAGGAAAAATCTTCTTGCCTAGCCTTGTTAGCTAAAGGAGATTAAAAAGAAACGTCAGGCCATTTCATACAGTCAAATATTCAGTAGTTTAAAAAAATACATGAATGGAAGTCCAAGAGCTCCAGCACAGGAATAACCAAAAAAATCCTACCCCACCACGCAGAACAAACCAGAGCTCCCATGCCGCCCTGTTTATCTTACTCCTAAGAGTGATTAATTTCTTGTTTACGTAGTGCTCTTTGATGTGGCTTACTTAGAGTCCTGCTCGCAGCCTCTTCCCACAGCCCTTAGTGCAAAGCAGCTCCACAGGGCTGACCCCGAGCACTCGACCCGGCAGCGGCCAGACACGACCCCTGCTC